GCAGCCTGTTCCCAGAACACCCATCAAGCTACCACTTCAGCTGCTTTGAGAGGCTGCAAAAACCTTAGAAGGAAGGCCAGGACCTGGATTGGTAGTACATTTCCATATGAAGTGGCTGACTAGCACCAAGATTGCTTTTCCCAGTGGCATTTAAAAAAAAACAACCACTGGGAATATTAGTCCCATATCTGATTAAACTTTTAAGACTGATGAAACTTTGGATTCTCAAGGATCATTACTGAAGCTATATAAAAGTCTATATGGAATTTGACTATTATCAGAATTTCAGTCTGGCAGCAAAAATGATATTTTGACAGCATGATTTTCTACCTGCCGTTTTCCTCCCACAATAACAGCACAATGGATGCATTAATCTTCACAATGATAAATGTGGCCATCTTGCTTTTCAAACACCACTTCTTGAAAAATCAGCAAAAAGAACGTCAGTGCAGCCTATGATGAGAAAAAATTCTTAAATGTACTGCAGCAATCTGTATTTTTAAATAAGGAAAATTATCCAAATCATGAATAATTACAAAGTGATCTTGCAGGCAAAACATATGATTTTTTCAGACCAACTTAGACAACACAAGCAGAATAATGGAATAAAATTAAATATACCAGTGCTGCTTGGCTTTTTAGTCAGAAAGGATATAAGAAATTCAGCCTTCATGGTTTATTTCCTTTCCACAGTTTATTTCTTTGAAACAGCCACTATCTGGAGCAATAAAGAGAAATGTTTATGGAAAACATATCTCCCACATTATTTATACTGCAGGTCCTTTTGTCCTGGAACACACCTTTGCTGACATCCAGAGTAGGATATGAAACAAGAAATTTAGCTAAGATAGCAATATTGAACTATGGGTTCAATAGCTAGCAAACTAATAAAACTAGCAGTACATGTATACACTGTCTATAAACCAACCAACATTGGAAACTCTTTCCTAGTCCCAGACAGATTATTGTACTAAATTATTAAAATTAGGCAATACAGAAAAATTCTTAAGATTATTGTATGGGATAAGTGTATACATAGAAACACAAATTTGGAAGACTGACTATCTAGTATGGAGTGACTTAGAACTTACACACATGCTATTTTCTATGAATAAAATAGGTTTCCATTGCCACAGAGATTTGCCAACATGTCTTCTACATGCATTTATGTTGGTTAGGAATTCACTCAGTGACAAAATATTTCTTTTTAGTGATATGAGAAAGAGGGAGGAAGAGAGGGAGGGAAGGAGGAGGGGAGAAATTGTGACACAGAGAGAAGGTAAGACAAAGGTGTGTAAAATAAGGCAAGATCTTATTCTGTGTCTATTTTGCCCTTCCTTTTTTTTCAAATCAATAAAATAATTTTTGCTCCCCAATATACAAACTTCAAACCCAGTGCAAAATGGAGTGTTTTTTAAAGCCAGGATAAGATATCTGTGATTTATTAAATCTCTGTCCTTCACAAAGTGTTATTTCCAATGTAAAGTCCAACACATACATTTTTACCAACAAAGTGAACTTTACTTTGATAGAGTAGTTTTAAAATTCTGTTAGATGTTTTATTTAGTCTTGCCTTATACATTTACCCATTGTAGTAATTACTACTAGCTTTTAATTTTTAGAGTGCATAAATAACTGTACTTAACATATGGTGGTGGTGAGATTTGAGAGAGAGAAATGTCTTATCTTTTGACCTTGTCAGCAGTAATTTTAAAACTTTGGATTGGATCCAAGAACTGAAATCCTCAGAGCTGGAAATCATGACTAAATCAGCATTCTGATCAGCTCTATTCATATCATTAAAGTCTGGCAAGTGTGTACACTGCTGCCTAGAGGAAAAAACCTGTAAATTGAATTCCGGCAGATTCTTGGCTGGGAATTAGGGAAGATCCCATGATGTTGCAGATTCGAAGCTTTGAAAGCTACTGAGGCACGCTGGCTTCCTAGCAAGGACAACCTTTTTCCAGCTCTCATCACTCATGGCTGTGGCTGGTCCTGGACAAGAGAGTAGCAAAGCTACTAATGCAGTGCATTCTTCAGTAAAGCTTGGAATAAATGCTTTGGGCTCCACAAAGGTGCAGCTATTCCTTAAAACAGCCCATCTTTTGCCAGTTCCTGGAAAAAAAATACCAATCCCATTAAAAATCTATTTAATTCTTAAGGCAATTGCTACTTTATTTCAGGCTCATGCAGATGCCTGGAAAAAAAAAAGATGGACTGCTCTGATGAATGAATGAGAAGTGGCACGCTTGTATAAGGTCTGAAAAAAATTCATTCAAATTATTTCTGGAGGGTGCAGAGCCTTAGTGGCTACATTGAAGATACATTTCTTTCAATGTGCACACATGGCCTGCTTCTGAGATTGGTCTGGAAAATGCAGTATCATAGCTAGAACGATGAAGAGGAGCAATTTATTGTAAAATTCTCTAAAAGAGAAGCACTGCCTGCTAATGCACTGCTGAGCTATAGAATAGAATAACAGAGCCGGAGGGGACCTTGGAGATCTTCTAGTCTGACTCCTGGAGGCAAGTTGTTCCACTGATTAATTGCTCTGTCAGGAAATTTAGTTCTAGGTTGCTTCTCTCCTTGATCCGTTGCTTCTGGTGCTGCCTTCAGGTGCCTAGAAGTTGACCGCCTCTTTGTGGCAGCCCCTCAAATATTGGAACACTGCTATCATGTTTAGTCCTTCTTTTCATTAAACTAGACATACCCAATTCCAGCAACTCTTCTTTGTGTGTTTATATGTTTAGCCTCCAGTTCCCTAGTCATCTTTATTGCTCTTCTCTGTACTCGGCACCGGCAGCAGGCGGAGGCAGAGCCATGGGGGAGACAGGTGATCCCGACGCCCCATGCAGGTATCTGGTCAGCGTGGCCGCAGGCAAGTCGAAAGTCGGCGGGACGGCGTGAGCCCGTTGGGATCGCCTCCGCCTCCGCCTGGCTCTGCTGCGCACTTCAGTCCAGAGGGAGACACAAAAGCTTTGTTTGCTTGCAAAGGGGACGCTTTGAAACGGAGCTAATCGCTTCCCCAGGAATGCCAGGGAGCCGCAATAAAGATTTGGGGTGCTGGGAGAGAGGGGCGGATGGGGCTTGTTCCCATCAGCTTGTGGTGGGGAGCAGAGCTCTTCTCAAGGGAGAAGAACGCAATTTGAAAATTGTCAGCAAATACACACACAACCTGGCCGGTGAAAGATAGGGCGATCGCTGCGTATTTTCAGGGCAGTGAGAAGATTCAGGAAGAGCTCTACTCCCCATCACCTACCCACAAAACACCCACGTTTACGCTCAGTGAAAAGGCAGGCACGGGAATCAAGAGGCGTTCTCTCTCCTCCCACCCCCTGTGCTACGCACTGATCGGAACAAGACTCCTCACCCCCCCACCCCCTTCTGCAAAGGAGACACAACACATACGACACATTCGACCGGTATATCAAGCCGTTATTCTCTCTCCCGAAGGATCCCCTTAAACAAAACAAGAGTGCTGGGATGGATTATCCCCGTCTGCCCCTCTCACTCGACCCCAAATCTTTGTTGCGGCACCCCTCCCCGCCATTCCTGGAGAAGTATCAAGAAGTCCCTGGCCCTGGCTCACCAGCGGCGGGGCAGGACGCTGCAAATCACTCCCACCCCCACCCCGGTTTATCAATCTATGGGTGACTGTGGATTGCCCTCATTTCCCAGCCACTTCGGTCTCCTTCCTTTCCCATTCCGTTCCCGATGCCCGTCAAGAATTCGGGGGGTGGGGGGGGAGCAGAGACCGGGTGAGGAAGTGGAGAAGGCGAAGGCACCCTCTTCCTTCGCCCGCTCTTTTCTTCCTCTTTCACTCTCGTGCACTTAGGAATTTAGGAAAGCTACCCCCCGCCCCCGATCCACCCACTCCTTGGCCACTTCAGAGTCATCTGTCCACTTTCCCCAGATTACTTCCATTTCCTTCCCTTGATGTTTTCAGAGACAGTGGTGGGATGCTGCCGGTGTTTCAAAATTTCCGATTCTTTTCCAAATTCCCCAAGGTTCTTGAATTGTTTTCCTCTTGAGGATTCTCATCCATGGAATCCTTCCCAAACTCTAAATGTCTTGCAATTAACTATTTTAAAAAGTCCAAGACTTTGTTCTCTTGCTTGTGTTTGCATAATGTTGAATTCTAATATTGCATGATCACTCTCCCCCAAGGTTCCTGTAGCTTTAACACCTTCTATCATTTCATCTCTGTTAGTGGGAATTAAGCCCAATATGACCGATCCCCTAGTTCTCTTCTCTTTGTCCTTTTGGGAGACAACTTTGTCTGCTAGGCTTGTCAGGCACCTGTTTGATCTTCCACTTGGTGCAGAGTTTGTCTCCCAGTTGATGTCAGGGTTCCCTTTAGTTCCCTTATATTCCAGGTATCCATGCTGACATAAAGTTTAACCCATCTAGGTCTTGAATGTCTGCTGGATACATTATCTTATATACAGTAGCCAGTTATTAAGATCTACTACGGATGCCCATTGGATGACATGACATTTACCAAGAATTCACTAGACAATAAGCTGTAAAATGTTTTCTTTGCAAACATCCAGATATGGTATTCCCTTTTTCATGTTTACATCTGGAGCCAAGCCTTGATAAAATCTAGCTTTTAAATGAATTATGTTTTTTGTTGTGATGGTTCTTGTTATTCCGATGTGTAATACATTAACAGCTTCATTATTTCAAAGGGTATTTTATGTTCCTTAGATTAACCAGATACACTTCTCTTCTTGAAATAAGTATTCTACTACATTTAAGCTTAAATAAAATCCAATATCAATCTATTACTTCTTTGCATGTATTTTCTGTTTCCTCATTTGTAATATGAACAGTTCTGGACTATAATTATTATAGTATTAATTACACTCTTAAATTCTTGTATGTAATTCTCAGAAGTAATAAATTCCATGAAAGAAAAGGCATTACATCATGCTTGTGAATGAATCTTTGTTTACTCTTTGGTTAAATATTCCAAAATGCATTATTTCTTTCTGCAGCTAGCACAGAAATATGATCCCCAGCGGGAACTTGAACTGCGACAATGGATTGAGGAAGCAACAGGGAAGCGTATTGGAGACAACTTCATGGAAAGTCTGAAAGATGGAGTCATCCTGTGCGAGTAAGACAATATAGAAGGAGGGGAAGCTTGTTCCCCAAATACTGAGGGTGGACAAAGAAGGCTTAGTGCTAGTTTAGACTAGATTAGTTAGCTGACAAAGGACTTGGAATAGAGGGCTTAACTTATTAAGAAAAGAAAATGTTTGCACACTTTCCTCTGGCTTCACAGCGTTAGCTATTTTCATTCAAATTAAATTTTTAATGACTATCTTTTTCTAGATGGGTATTTTTAGATATGATGTATGGGGAAGGGGGGAGAAATATCTCCTTTTTAAAGAAAACCCCGTACATGATTTTTGAGGAACATTTTTATTTAGATTTACAGTTCATCCTATGCCAAACATTCATCAATGCCAAAGATGGTGAATGACTTATTATAGATAATTTGAAAAGAAACCTTGGATAATAAAACAAGATTTAATACCCAAAATACCTACTAAAATTACTTTAAAAGGAAATAAAGAAATCTGATGTATTCCTTGTATTCAAAGTTTTGATCCCTAAATATGTTCCCCCAATCCCAAGTAATGGAATAACTTAAGGATGCTTTAAATTTAAGACGGGATTGAAACACATTGCTTTTGGTAGCTTAGACATAGGCTTAAACATTTCCTGGTTATTTGGCAACTGTATTTATCATCTCAGCCAACAGGTAGAAAAGCAGATGTACCATTGTTTCCATTATACTGCATTTGTTTTTATTACGATGAATATTAAACAATTTAGACATAACCAATTTTTGGACACACAGGTATAAGACTGCAATGCTAACTCTATATGGTCAAAGCAATCTCAAAGTATGAATTTAATTTTAATCCCTTAATTCCATTCAGTCTCCACACCAAGAATGATGACTGAAAACACCTCCTAAACTAATAAAGACACTACTTTTTTGTACACCAAATAATTAGGAGCGTGGAGAATCTGCACCCTTAATATATTTAATTTATAGTGAATGTGTTGATTTTTAAAACTAAAGATTACTGAGCTGCACTGGGTCATTTTTGAAGATAGAAAAGCAATACAACAATTTTCTTCTGACTGATCACTTCTTGAGTACATTCCATGGGTAAACACACACAAGTATTTTTGTTTAGAGAGAACTTTTCAAAAGAAAAAGTATACAGGTTACCATTTCTGAATTACATGGTATTCTTACATCAAAGTAAACATACAGAAATCCTATGTTGATGCTGAAGAAATAAACACCATGGAATAAAACTTTCCTCTCCCCATCTCTTTCAGACTTATCAACAAACTCCAACCTGGATCTGTAAGGAAAGTGAATGAGTCCACCCAGAACTGGCATCAGGTACCATTCTCTCTTACTATATCCACACCAGTGCTACTTTTATATTATTAAGAAACTTTTACTAAGATACATGAAAGAGGTTATGGCATCAGCAAATAGCTGAGCTTTTCTCTTTACTACACAGCTGTTTGCTGTAAACAGTAATGTACTGGTAACACAAACAAAGGAATGTTTCAATTAAAATAAAAAGGTTAAAGAAATGAAATATTAACAAATACAAATATATTGGACAGAAATAAATAGTGAAATTCTATTTCAAAGCCTATAAGCAAAAATATGCAACCAAATATTGTGGGAGAAAGACTGGCTGATGTATTTGGGAGTAGGAAGACTGGGCAATGAGGAAAGGAATTCCTTTCCCTGATTCTTTGATCCAAATGCTCCCTCAAAAGCAGCTTTTACTGCCAGAGTTCTGATATGCAGTACATCAGTGCCCCCCCCCCTCAACCTTTTGGGCACCAGGTACTGGTTCCGTGGAGAGTTTTTTTCCATGGACTGGGGGAGGGGAGTTTCACATGCTGCCTGCATCCCACGGATGGGGCTTTGCTTGTTTGCACGGCCTGGTTTCTGGCATGCCGCAGCCTGGTGCTGGTCCATGAACTGGGGCTTGGGGACCCCTGCAGTACATGTTGTGGCTGTTCTGATAGTAGATATTTAGAGGGACAGAGCAATTACCAAATAGGCAGAAAAATATTATTTTTTCTACTTTCCCATCTAACTGCTACATCTTTGCTGACTGTAAAAAGTGAAGAAAGCACTTCTGGATCATGAATCCACTCATTATTAGAAGAGTCCTTGTGTGGTCCCTACGCTTGCACTATTGCACTTGTGATGCATTATGTGGATGGCTATAATTTTTCCCCTTGAGCTTTGAGACAGTACTAAATCAGTCTTCCCTACCGTAATGCTTTTCAGACAGGCTGGGATTACAGTTACATGCCATACTGAAGAAGATTCCACCATCCACTTCTTAGAGGAAGCATTGTAAAGATTCCTGGAAAATTCTCAGTGATTGTAAATGATTGTTTAATCCTGTTTTGCAGCTGGAAAACATTGGCAACTTTATTAAGGCTATCACAAGATATGGAGTGAAACCCCATGACATTTTTGAAGCAAATGATCTCTTTGAAAATACAAACCATACCCAGGTCCAGTCAACCCTGATTGCTTTAGCTAGCATGGTAAGTTGTTTTTGCTCATTTTTTCTTTAGTGAACCTTACATGATAGTATGGAAGTATTTCATAGATATCAGCCCAATAATCTAATATTGGATAATACAATCACCATATTGAAATGTGAGTGGAGGCCAAGATCAGTGTGGCCTCAGATTACATTTTAAATCAATCTCATAGCTAACTCTTCACTACTAGAAGAAAATACCTGTTATACTGCCTCTGATCTACAATATCCCTTATTGGTCTATAAGTCTTCTTTGAGAAGAGTTATATTGATGGGCAGGAGGAACTTTTTTCCAGTATATACCAGGGGCATCAAACTTGCATTGCCATCACGTGACGTATCGGGACTTTCCCCCCCTTTGCTAAACCGAGCGGGGGCAGGGGCAGTATATGATGCATCTGGCCCGCAGGCTTGACACCCCTGGTATAAACAGTTAATTTCTACCAAGACTCCTTCCCAGAATTTTACATGCTAGCCATAAGCCCTAAATTATAGAAGTACTAACAGCAAGCATAGAACCCTTTCTCTTTGCATGTCCATATATGCTCAGCCTAATTTTACACACTTAGAAGGAAGATGCTGAGATCTCAGTTTGGACATCACAGAGATGATATATCAAGGAAATCATTTGCAGAATTAAATACTGAGACTGAATCCAGGGTTTTTGATGCAATTTGAAATGAAATAACTAGGTCTGGGGCAGGGGGAAACTTCAGTTCCACTGAAAAACAGACCTGCCTCATTCTGGCAAAATACCTGAGGGAAACATCTGAAAAGATTTCTGATTGTCACAACACAGGCAAAGACAAAAGGCAACAGGGTGAATGTTGGAGTGAAATATGCCGAAAAACAACAGCGAAAATTCCTGCCTGAAAAGCTGAAAGAAGGAAGGAACATCATTGGACTGCAGGTGTGTGGCTTCAGCCAACAGTTTCCCTAAGATACAGATATTTTGTATCATTACCTGTAGGAAATAATTTAGAATACCTTGCTACATCTTCAAAATTAATTTCTTTGTGCAAATGTGTACTGTGGCCAAATACATAATTACCATGGCACTTCCACATGAGTGCTTTCATCTTTCTGCCCAAACGTTTCTCACCAGTCAGCTTTGAAGTACCAAGAACTAGGCAATACTTCCTCCAAACAATTAATTGCAGAGGAGACAAAATGGTGCCAAACCAGTGTGTCTGCTATTCTCAGCTTATTAGATGGCAGACTAATACAGCAAAATGCATACATATGGATCAGCCAGGTGTGCATTAGGCACTAAAAAAAATGCTGACGAGAACCACGAACAAAACACTGAAAATTGCAGGGGGGAGAGAAGCAATAGAAATTCCCTTTCTCCCATCTTACATTGCAGGGATAGAAAATATGCTGTTAGAAGACCAACTTCTTTTCCAAAATAGACACGTCCACAAGGCGGGGCGGGGGAGGGGGCAAAACAAAACAATTCCAAGCAGCAGGAAGCAGGCTTTGAGCCCACTGCTTAGAGAAGAAAACATACATTTTGGTCAAATTCACACGGACTCTTTTCATCTGAGTTACTGTGTGCAGGGAATCAAAACAATTTGCTGCATAGTAAACTGGAATCCGTAGTTTTTTGTTGTTGTGATATGCACCAAAAATATAGGAGCAGTTGCTGTAAAGATATGCCTGAAAACTCTCAAGTCACTTCTGTTTAAGGGCTAAGTGAATACCAGTGGTATCTGCAGAATTGAAAGTGATTTTGTTTTGTAGGCTCCACCACTTTGAAATATATATTATAATAAATGCACAAAAAGAGTGGGCTTGCAATGTGATGCTATTTTCATCATTCTGACTCCACCTGGCCTCCACTCTAGATGTCATTGATGCTATGCCAGCTGAAGCAAATGGTGAGAATTTCTGCCAACAGACTGAAAACAGACCACTCATGAACTCTTCCAAACTTCATCACTGGAAACATATCAGTATTTTACACTGCAGCTGTGCTAGAAATTAAGACTCAACTGGTGAATAAGGATAGCAGCATAGATTTAATTCTGGAAAAGAATCAGAAATGGTGCAGACTGTGGGTTAAGTGCCCTCAGTTCCATTTTATACCTGACTCCCTAAAACTAGCATCTTGTTGTCTAAGTGTATTTGCCAATGCAATTTTTGCCAGTTTGTTCCCGAAAAAATTACCTCTAGGAATGTCATTAGTGCTTTGAATTCAGTTTTCCTGCATTACAATCACTGTTGAGTAGGTAAGGAAAACAGAAGACTTGCAAAGGACCAATTCTTCACTTGAGATTTCCAGTGACACCATAAAGCTGCCTTCATATGGAATATTTTGTTATCAGTCATGGCTGTGTGATATTGCATGATATAAATTGCCAGGGAGAAAATGGAGAAAAAGTCTAAGTGACAGAATGAAGATGAAGCTTTTAACCTATATATGAAATAGAAACTTGGCAAAGAGAGAATGATGAGTCTAATTGTCAATATTGCATTCTTCTTAGATGGGCACGAACAAGTTTGCCAGTCAGCAAGGTATGACAGCATATGGCACACGTCGACACCTCTATGATCCAAAGTTGGGTGCAGACCAACCTCTAGATCAGGCCACAATCAGTCTACAAATGGGAACCAACAAGGGGGCTAGCCAGGTAAGAAATGTGAATGGAAAAAAATGGGTTACTGAGATGATTTTAATACTCTTAGCTGTTTTTCCCCTCATTCTTCCACTGGAAAATCAACAATTTATTGACTAGTAGGATTACTACAACTGCTTGTACAATAACAGATACACTGCTTCTATCATAGTGTAATTTCCATGTAGAAGTAAGTTCCTGCTTTTTAGTTTCTGTATAGGTCTGTATTCTTACTCAGATAATACTAGGCTCTTCAGACTGAAGACAAATTAGGTACTTCAAGGCACATGAATCCTATTTACAACTCTTCAAGTTGTATGCAGCAACTACGCAGCAACTTGCAGTAAAGCTGCTTTAAGAAGTCACACAGGTGCTATGCTCATGCTCCAAAGCCTTTGACTCTGAAGTACTTCAGAGGTAGCTACGTATCTACATGGCTGGGACATTCCTAATGGTTTCAGACATACACTATCACTGTGTGAAACTAGGTAACTATATCTAGAACACTTTTATGTAACATGTTTAGGCCTCACCCTCAAATTCTTCCAGAGTTCCTGTTCCCATTTGTACATCAACATTTAATTTGGGAGCACATTATTCTTTGGATTTTTGTCTCTGAAAACATGTGAACTGAAGCTGAAGCAAGTTCAAGAGGCAAACACCTTTATCTCAAGATATATTTGGCATAAACAGCTCATATTTTGTTATTTCCTCTGAGAGTAATGTAGAAATTAGGTACCTCAAAGCTCAAAAGACCATTTTTAGCTCTTAAAAATCAAGATAAAGAAATTGTTGAGATATGCTAGAAAGCCAATTACTTCATTCTGAGGTATAACAATTAGAAAATAAATATCTTACAAGGTAAAGAGTCAAATTATTTTTCTGGGGTGGCATATTTTCTTCAACACAAAGATTTAGTAATCTAGTACCTACCAACTGGTAGGTATATGTGTGTGTGTGTATGTGTGGGGGTCATTTATCAGTTATTCCAATCTTTTCACACTTTCTCCAAGTAACTGCTTTTTACTTTTCTATTCTTCCCCCTTTTTCCTCTACTTGCACCCACCTCAGGCGGGCATGACAGCTCCTGGAACCAAGAGACAAATCTTTGAGCCCACCCTTGGCATGGAGCACTGCGACACCCAGAATATCTCCCTGCAAATGGGCAGCAACAAAGGAGCCTCACAGCAAGGCATGACTGTGTATGGGCTGCCGCGACAAGTCTATGACTCCAAATATTGTCTCACGCCCTCCTATCCTTTAATTGGAGATGATGAAGACCAATATAACCACAGCCATCATAACTTCTACAACTCTGAATAGCCATCAGTTGTGGGACAGATATAAAATACAGACACCAGCACTGCAAGGCGCTTCCTAAAAGATCCATCATCATGTGTTTATTATAACCCAGGAATATAAGAAGATTCAGACAGTTCCCTAAATTGCTAACCAGCTCACTAAAGACTCCTTAATACATGCCCGAACCAGGTTTCCCGTCACTGAGTATTAAAGCTTCACCTTGATATCTTTCACGCTTTGACTTATCAACTACTGTCACTGCTTTTGAGCATGCACTAATATGGCTCAAAACTCTCAGGATGAAAGATCAAATAATAAAACCAGTAGGTTGAGAGAAGTAGAAACAAAAGAATGAGTCCTCTGAACTTGGCTTCTCAATTGACTTATCTTCTCAAAAAGCCCTGGCAGCTGCCAATCATTTCCCAGTGCCAGCTGATGCTAATGTTTTGGATCAATGCAGAGGCAGGCAATGAAGGTACAACCTGTAAAGTTGTTAGCTGCTGCACTCTATTTTGTATTCATTAATTACACAAATTGCTTCAGGGCAAGCCACATTTTCTGACCTGCTTAGATATAAAATAGCAAGTCCTCCATATGTTAACTTTGCCAGAGGCTCCAATCACTTCTGTTTCCTGAAACACACAAAGTTTGTGCAAGAGCAGTGGCAACCTGAGCTAGCCACTGACTTCATGGAAAGCAAAAACTTATGGTGGAAAATGTTTATGGGTGGAGAGTAATTGCAGGAGTTGGACATACCAACCAGACAACATCACTAGGCCAGTGATACACATAAATATGCCTTAAGATCAGTAGGTGGCTAATATCAGGTCATTTGGAAAGTGTCAAGTCATTTGGTGCAGAAAGGGGGATGCAAAGTTAAACCAAGCACCCCTGCAATTTCAGGCAGAAACTGTCTGGATACTGAACAGCTACTTGCCCAAGAACACAAACTTTATTGCAAAACCAATGCTTTTTAAGTCTTTGTTTAGTCATATAATGAGCAGGTACCTGCTTGTATGGATAGGAATGTCTTGGCGATATACAACTGTTTCTTTGTATTTGCCTTACTAACCTCTCATTAGTCTACAGTATCTTTGATCTTATTTGTTTCAGTCATCCCCATGTACATAATCTGCAGTAAATAGTAGACATTTGCGTATTTGCATACAATCTAAGAATTTAAAGGCATGGAAAATCAGGTAAAACTGAACATAGGAACCAAAATTAATTTTAAAGCATTCTTCTCCTGATTTATGTAAATAATCATGTGCTTTGTATAAAGAAAAAATCATCTACCATAAAGACAATACTGTGCAATTCAAGTTATAAGCCCAACAAGTATACACTTCACACAGAAGTAGTTGCCTGTGCATCTAGCTGTGTTCTGCCTTTCTTCCAGGAATTCAAGGAAAGCATCCTTTCCTCCAATTTCTGCCATGATAACGTAGATTGTGAAATAGCCTGGGCTAAGAAAGAGAAATTGGCTCAAAGTCGCCCAGAATGAGCTTTTCTGGGTGTCTCTACTCCAATACCTAGAACATAACATCACACTAGGTCTCGCTTTTTGCTTCCCATGAATCTTTAATTATGCATATTAAAACATTTTTTCTATTAACAGATAAATTTTATTCAATTATCATCTAATCCCTGCACTTGTAGTTCAGGATTGGTGTATCTGTCATCTATATGTATATTTAATTCAGGAATGGCTGGCTTCACTATTTTTTTCTATTGCCATGTTCTCTAGTAATCATCTAGAATTAGAGGAATATTTGCTCATTTTCCAATTCAACATTTGGAAAAATGGTGTAATATATACTACTGAAAAGCTTATTAGTGCGTCATTGACAAGTGTGTCAATGAACGCACTTGTTCTTTACCTTCCTAAAAATCCACATCCTTCCTACAGTTGCAAGTATTCTGTATGCTGAACAGCTAAAAGCACACTTTCCTTAAAACAAAAACACATGAAAAGGTATGTTTCATTGCAATGTTCTGATAAAATTTACTTCATTTCACTGTGGCACAATAAAAAGAAAAAAGAGGGCTTTTAAAATATTGTTTTAAATGCGATTTAACACATGCTTCTGACATGTCTATTTAAAAACAAAATGAAGATGTCACATAACCCTTCCTATTACAACATGTCAGATCATTTACTTTAGTGGTTCTTCATGTTCTCCAAGCAGGACTTTTGTAGCCCTTGGATCTAAGATATTTCAAGAGAAAACAATCACACAGAATTGAATTTAATTTTTAAAAAAAATTAAAAAAAGAATTAAAAAACCCACAGAAACTTCTATCAGCTAAGTGATTTGTTTCCCCAAATATATGAATTTTTATATAAGCATCTCTTATCTAATGGAAGCAGTCAGCACTGCAGAATGTGCTAAAGGCAAAAGCCATTACTGCGTTACTCATGATCACTCTATGTGATCATCAATGTATTCTTTAAATTGCAGTATAATCAACAGTATGAAAAAGCCTTTCAGGAAATGATTCAGGAAATCATTAAAAGTTTTTGGTCCTCTTGAAGCTAAAGATAAAATCTCAACAAAGAAGACAGTCTCTGCTCACTTGAATACTTCTGCCGGAAGGAACTATCAAGATACAACAGGTCTGTAGGCAAGTTCTGGAAAATAGCAATAGCAACCATCACTGTATTGTTGCCAGAATCATTACTGATGTATGCATATAGAGTCAATTTTGCATATTTGAAATAATTGGGAATATTCTAATGAAACACAGGCTTAAAAGTGAAATAGTTCAGTTTTTAACACTTTGTTGTAGCAAGTTTGCTCAGTGAATTTTCAAATATTAAATTATCCCCAAATCAGCTGATTTTCACATAACCCCATGGACAGAATTGCACATAAATACCTATTTAGTGTGCCCCATCATTGCTGATGTTCAATTCAAAGCAATTCCCAAGAGTGATCCTTTAAGCAGATGCTGTCCCTACCTATACATTTCACTATATAACATATAGAGGCCAGACTCTTACAGAAGACTAAACAGATGAATTAATAATTGTGAGCCACTGAGAGTCATTTGCTGAGATGAACAGCCATAAAAAAATTAAACAGCGAAACACTTGTTTCACTATGTTAAGTAAATTAAGTTTTGCCATCATCATACTGCAACCAATTATGGTCACCACACTATAAAAAGATGTTGAGACTCTAGAAAAAGTACAGAGAAGAGCAACCAGGATGATTAGGGGACTAGAGGCTAAAACATATGAAGTACGGTTGCAGGAACCAGGCATGGCTAGTCTAGTGAAGAGAAGGACCAGGGGAGACATGATAGCAGTCTTCTAATATTTGAGGGGCTGCCACAGAGAGGAAAGGGTCAACTTGTTTTCCAAGACACCTGAAGGCCAGACAAGAAATAATGAATGGAAACTGAACAAGGAGAGATTCAACCTGGAAATAAGGAGAAATTTTCTGACAGTGAGATCAACCAATGGAACAGCTTGCCTTCAGAAGTTGTGGGAGCTTCATCACTTGAGGCTTTCAAGAAGAGACTGGACTGGGGTGGGAGGTTGAACTACATGGCTACAAGGCCCCTTCAAACTCTGTTAATATGTTAATCATGCAAGAACTGCCATTTTACTAATCAGAAAATAAATTAAGAAATTCTAACATGGCTACCTTTTTACCAAGAGAAGGATTCTACTGTCAAAATTTCAAGGTAACTCAAACATACTGTTAAGTATGTTGTCAATCCAGGTAGGAATAAAAGCATCCAGTAGTAGAGGACACTTCCCTGCTTTGTTTATGCTTCCAGTATTTAACTTACACAACTATTCAGTTAGTGTGGTGATATCATTAGCTTCTTAACAAGTTACTGATTCATTTCCAAAATGATTTAGAATCCTGGAGCAGAGATCCACTGGAAAGGTTGGATACATTCATATGGCAGCTTACAATAAGGCAATGGTTTATTATTTAAAAGATTTAACACTAACCATCACTTAGCTCCATTCTATGCATCCTGAGCTTCCATTTAAGTAATACAGTATAAACCCAAAAATTTACATAGACACTGGAAAAAAGGAGTTACCTCTTAGCTGCCCTAGAATATTCTCTCTAAAGCAAGGGTCTTCAAACTTGTCAAGTTTAAGACTTGTGGACTTCAACTCCCAGAATTCCTGAGCTAACATGACTGGAGGAGGAATTCTGGGAGTTGAAGTCCACAAATCTTAAAGCTGTTTGAAAACCCCTGCTCTAAAGTATCAATAACTGTCCTGAAGATTGGGTTTTCTCTCATAATAAACAAACCTAGTCAGCTGTTTTGCCGTGAACACACCATTCTATGATCCCAGGTTCTTAGATTACTTATTTGTTCTGTTAGCTGGAATCTTCATGTCTACTGTATATTTTTCCTGGTAACAATATGGAAGTGGTTGCTAAACTTCCTTGAAGTAGAAAAAAGATTTTAGGCTTATCTGTTTTCTGATTTGGAAAGGCAAATTAACAAGGATGTACTGCATATATCTTCTATCTGTTCTAGATCTGTTTTTGTGCTATTTATGGGGCAATTCCCCCTTATCATGAGACTTTCCACCCGAAAAATGGGACCTGCCTTGCCCAATACTCCCAGGAAATGCTTTCTTCAAATCTGAATGACTCCCTACACAGAAAAGGGATTTTGTTGTGCAGTAACTAGACCCTTCTATATCATACATCCATTATTTAGTTGGTTATTTAATGACTTATTGCCTTTCTACTTACTCAGAGCAGCTATGAAAAATGGAATAATATAAAAAATTAAAATCATACAGATTATTTAAATGATGAGATTGGGAGGCAATTTCAGAGCAAGTGTATTTGACAATCACAGAGCAAAGAAAACTCACTATATTATAAGTCATGGAAATCAAGGGATGGAATTTGTGATTGGGCTATAGTAATGGAAGGATACAATTTGTTCAAAAGAAACTTGGCAAGAGAAATGAATTATCACACATGAAGAATGATTTCACCAATATGGATGTTTGTGACACTCTGGTTGAAAACCCTACGGAAAGAATTTGGATGAATATGAAGGGGAAAAGAATTATTTTGCTTGGTTAGGCACCCTGTAAAACTGATAAAATGTTCAAAAGCACTAGGGCCTAAAGATATTTGGCCTAAAGAGAAGAAAGCTAGGGGAAGACATAAAAGTCTTCCCATACTTGTAAACAGACTGTCAAATAGAAGAAAGTATAGATGTATTTTCTGTATTGCCTGAGAACATGACCAGAGTCAATGGGTGGAAGTTTTATAGAGAAAGCACCAAATTTGAAATAAGAAGCAATTTTCTGACAATAAAAGCTGTTAATGGAAATCCTGCTTCCTGAAGGGTCTTCCATTTCTGCAGGTTTTCAAACAAAAATCGGACAACCATTTATCTAGGCATTATCTGTTGATTCCTGCTCTAGGAAGGGGGCTAAACAGAAGATCCTTCAAGGTCCTTCCAACCTATCAGTTTACAGTACAGTAAAAGATAGGAAAAGCTGTATGCAACAAACCAAAAGAGCATCTTACAAGTTACAGCACCATTATAACATACTGAACCTCTTATTTTATTATATGACATTTTTAAGAAGAAAAATATTCAGTTCAATATCCCTTGCTGATATTTAAAAAAAAAAAAACAAGGAATAGGCTTTTGCTTTTTCAAATGTTATCCTGTACAAAGAACTTAGGAGTTGTTGTCTGTAGAGCATAGAATTAGTTCAGATTTAGAAGATACAAAACTTGATGCCATAGTGGTTTTAATTTGAAAAAATAACCGCAGTCTCTTAATTCCAATGCTACATAAGATAAACTGGGAATAGGTCAAAATAGCTTTTCTTCCTCGCTCAGTGCATTCAGAAAGTATTCAGACTCTTTACTTTTGTCAATTTTGTTGTGCTACAGCCTGATTCAACAGTTGTTGAAATTCATTTTTTTCTACACTTAGTACCCCTTAATGACAAAATGAAAACAGAATGTTAGAAACGCCTGTAAAATTATTAAAAAGAAAAAACTGAAATATCACAGTGGCATAAGTATTCAGAACCTTTCAACACCACTTGAAATTTAGCTCAGCTGCAATCCATTTTTCGTGATCATAGCTGACATTTCTACACCTGTGGTAAATTAAATTGATTGGACATGATTTGGAAAGGCACACAGCTCTCTGTAGAAGGCCTCACAGTTGACAAAAGTAGCAGAGCAAAAGCCTGAAATCAAAGGAGCTGCCTGCAGAGCTCAAAGAGAGGATTATTGCAAGGCACAGATCTGGGGAAGGCTACAATAAGATTCCTACTGCACTGAAGGTTCCTAAGAGCACAGTGGCCTCCATAATTCTCAAATAGAAGTTTGGCACAACCAGGATTGTTCCAAGAGCGAGTCGCCCAGTCAAACTGGCAATTGGGAGAGAAAGGACTTAGTAAAAGAGGTGACCAAGAACTCAATGGTCACTCTGACTGTGCTCCAAAGATCCTGTGTGGAGATTGGACAGAGTTCTAGGACTACCATTACTGCAGCCCTCCACCGATATGAGAGACTAGACGGAAGCCTCTCCTCAGTGCAAAACATATAAAAGCTTGCTTGGAGTTTGCAAAAAAGC